CAAACGGTCCAGCCTTCTGTTACTTTATCAAGACTGCCAACAACATCTGCCCTATCGATTTTAGAGCCTATTCCCACATATTTTGTGCTTCCCAAACTCCTGTGTTACTTGGTGGCACGTCTTCCCTTCTCAGTCTGAAACTTCCTCTCCTCCAGCCCCCTCAAATTTATTTTTTTTTTAAAAAAAATACCCTAGCACCTGTATCCAAAAATATGGAGGAAGGGGTTTAGTGCACTAATGCCATGGTTCCCAACCGCACAGCAATAGCAGTGCCTAGAAGTCAGAATTGGTGCTGCCCTTCCACATAGTACACAAAACTGAATAACAAAGCACTCATTACCCAAATAGTTGCTTGTTGATTAATTTAAATGGCTTTCTAACATGAGGGGGACTGATTTTTAAGATTCTCAAGAGATATGGTCTGGATGCAAATCTGTGTAAATCCAGAAGAATCCCAGTGTCAAGGCAGTCCAAATACTCCATCTGTAAGCTACAAACGGTCCAGCCTTCTGTTACTTTATCAAGACTGCCAACAACATCTGCCCTATCGATTTTAGAGCCTACGGGACACTGTGGGGCTTGAAATGTTCATTGTTTGAAAAGTTATTTATTCATTCATTCACTCACTGCTGTTACTCACTACAATCTTTGAAAAGCCACTTGTTCTTTTATCAGCCTACGACTGATAAAAGAATAGCAGAACACTTGAAAAATTCCTCTTAGAACTTCTCTTTAAAATGGCCTTTAAAGCTACAAATATGTTTTGTTACACTGGCAAGGTGGAAAATTGTTCTCATTTGTTAAAGAATGTTGGAATGAGACTTCATTGTGCCCTTCATTGTCTCCAAGGTAATTATTTTTCTCAAAGGTAAAGGTAAAGCTTCCCCTTGACAATTATTTTTGTCCAGTCGTGTTCGACTCTAGGGGGCGGTGCTCATCCCTGTTTCCAAGCCATAAAGCCAGCGTTTGTCCGAAGACAATCTTCCGTGGTCACATGGCCAGTGCGACTTAGACACGGAACGCTGTTACCTTCCCACCAAGGTGGTCCCTATTGATCTACTTGCATTTGCATGCTTTCAAACTGCTAGGTTGGCGGGAGCTGGGACGAGCGACGGGAGCTCACTCCGTCGCGTGGATTCAATCTTACAACTGCTTGGTCTTCTGACCCTGCAGCACAGGCTTCTGCGGTTTAGCCCACAGCGCCACCACGTCCCATTTTTTTTGTCAAAGTGGAGTTCAAATACAGTACTTTCATATGTTAAAGTATATGTAGAACACAATGGATACTGACAAATGGGGCTGATATCCATTGTGATTAGTTGGCAGATCTTAACCAGCCCATTCTAAAGACTAACCACCTAACAAAGCAAGCTGATTTGCATGTTCCCAAAATGAAACTCCTGCTGTGAAACCCAGATACGTACTTTCATTAGTTATTTTTTTTCCAAATCATGGGCTAGCAGGAGAAGAAGAAAATCAAATATGAGATGAATTGACTTGGTAAGGGAAATTATGGCCTAAAGCAGTGGTTCTTAACCTTTGTTACTCGGATGCTTTTGAACTGCAACTCCCAGAACCCCCAGTCAGTACAGCTGGTGGTGAAGGCTTCTGGGAGTTGCAGTCCAAAACTCCTGAGTAACCCAAGGTTAAGAATCAGTGGCCTAAAGTTTGCAAGACCTCAGGTAGGACTTTTTGGAGTCACTAATTCATAAGGTCACCATGAGATGGAATTCTTAGAATAATGTTAGTGTGTGTAAGCATTACAGACAAAAACAAAGGGAAATAAAAGAATAAAAAACAAAAAAGGACAAATGAAAGTGAATTGGAATCAACTTGATGGTGTAAAAAAAACCCACAATCATGGCCTATCCATAGTACCATGTGTGTTATAAATTGTCTCACCTGTTTGCCTATACTGTATTCCTATTCTTGGGCACTGGGCTCACAGAAACAGCTACATGAATACAGGCCATATTTGTACACACTTATATCCTTTAAACCAGGCAGGTAAGTAAAGGTTGCTCATGTGCCCGTGTTCTGTGTGATCTGTATCTGCAGTGCGCATGAAAGATGGGAATTCATTGCTTGGAAGAGGAACTTTCAACACTTGTACCAAATTTGCAGAAATTTTCTCTTCTATACTACTGTTAAATGTAGAAGAACTCTGTCCTGTTTTTCATCTGTTCACACACTCTATGCCATATACCAAACCACATCTTTGTGCTGCCTGCTAATCCAGAATAACAATCTTCACGGCTCAGCATCACTGATGCAGGAATTCTAATTCTTCTAAAAAGCATATACACATAGGTTAGGAGATGGGGAAGGGGGTGTCTTTGGTATCATCTGGCCCACACTTTGCATTGCAAGAAATCCAGATCTCAAACACCCCAATAGATGGCTGCCCAAATACTCTGGTTGAAGACCTTCAAAGAAGATGCCTCCAACAAATGAAGGATTCAATTTCTGAACTGCTGTCACACTTCAGATTTTTTTTTCACCTGTTTAATTGGAATGTACCTCCTTGTATCTTAAGTCCCTAGTCCTGCCCTCTGAGCCAACAAAGAGCAAGTGTTAGTTCTCCACTGCTTCAGGTATTCAAACAATTCTATTATGCAGCCCAGCCCCAGAGCTGACCCAACAGCAGGACAAATGCTCCCGTAGTTATCTCCTAAATGCAGCAAAGTTGTATTTCAGAGCCAATTCCTCAGCAGGAAAAAGGATACCAAGCTTTACATAGCAAAGGGCAAGCCTGAATGTTGACAACACTGACTGCAGCAGTCAAGATGGTCTACACTCTACAGAATACTCTTGTCTACTCAATACCATTCACAAAGTGGCACCATGCAAGGTAAAATCCGAGAAGTTGACTCCTTGTTTCATCAGTTAACCATTTCTTACCCGAACATAAAGCAATTGTCAGGGCTGTTTTTCAACAAGTGTGAATGGCTTGTGCGATGCTGAATACTATTGTGAGCACAATATATTGGCACCTTCCTGGGCACCAGTAATAACTATTAGGAGACAAGAAACATAAGCAGATGGGATCTCTCTTGGTTTTCCATGGGTAACCAATTATAATTTGTTGCCTTTAGGTCACTTCTTCCTGGATCATTCCCCCTTTCAAGAAAATAGTTCAGTTCTTTTGCTACTCTTTAATCTGTGGAGATGCATCCCTGCTGGCCTGCAGCACACAAACTAGTGTTATTACTTCTCATTAGTTGAGAATAATGGCTCAGTGTACAGTTGACTTTTTTTGGGGGGGGCAGGTGTTAATCAGTAAAGATTGTCCTACAGAATGAACCAACTTCTCACTGAGGGAGAAACCATGTCCTTAGGCCATACATGACTGAATATTCTCCTCTGCACAAGACATAATGAATGAACAAAATCTGTGCACATTGGAAAAGAAATATGACTAGGAGAATGCTAGGCTAAATTTCTCAACACAGTGACTGTTGGGGGTGTTATAGCAATCAAATAAGAGCTCTCTCTTATCTAGAGTGGAAAATACCACAAATGTTTAGACTTCTCTCAAAACCAGGTAGGTCAACATGATTTTGTACCTCTATCCTGGAAGACCTAACACACCGACTGTTGTGTAAGACACCGTGTCCACCTTGCTTATGACAAACCATCTCCTCTCTGCCAACATCAAGAGCGCAAAATGAGTAGGAACTGCCAGTTGCAAAGAAATAGACACATCTTGCAAGTTTTTAATGTAGGAGACAATAAAATCAATGAATCTATATTTTATTACAACAATTTGGTATTAAATTGCTTCAACTTATGGGGCTCCTATGAATGAGTGACCTCCAAAAGTACAGACCTACTCTGGTCTGGTCTTACAAATTAAAGGCTGTGGCTTTATAGATCAGTTTATCCACAAAACTACAGTGCTCAAGTATGAATTTTGTTTGTCTTTTAGAGATACTCTAATAATGAGGGGAGATTGTAACTGTTACTTTGTTTATGGTAGTTTTATTTTTTCTGCCAGGGAGGGAAAAGAGACTTGTGAAAATGTACAACAAAAAAACAAACAAAGCAGAACCAGGATCACAACAGAACCGAAGTCTTGGGTCACTTTTACAATGAACAAATTATTTTTAGTGTGTTTTCGTGTATCCCGTGTATTACTGTTTTGTAACACCCAAACCCAGCTGCCTCTTCGGAAATTACTGGTGAGCGTCTCCACCCGAAGTGCCAAAATTCCCACGACTACGTACGTTGCGTATGTAAACTTGTGTCCAAATATGGCACTCCTTGTGTCTGAGGAGTTGAATTGCAAACAAGGAAAGCTGGAGACGAAATCTGTCAGCTTTCTAAGTGTCGCAAGTTTTGCTTTGAGTTATGCATATGTATAATAACTATATTCATAATAACTATATTCATATGCCTTGAATAAGATTCGTTTAAGATTGGCGTGCGAGGCTGGTCGGTTTTCCGGGGAAGAACAACACAGCCCTCTCCTCTTTGACACGGAAAACTGAAGTCTTTCATACTGATTGCCTATAAGTCCTTTCGGGAGGCTTTTGGCCTGATATGGGGCATTACTGATATATAAATAAAAGCTTGACAGCAGGAATCGGG